ATTAATAAATTTAAATGTTAATTACTTTGAACAGCTTCCATTAGAATATTGTTACTACATTGAGCAGTGGAGTTGAGTCCATTATCATTATTATACTCATTATATTGACTGAAGGAAAGAGATAGTAATACTCTAATAATACCAGCTGGTAATTCATGAGAGGAGGAGGAGACTAATGATGTAATGAAATATTCACAAACTGTTTCCTTCATATTTGAAGAACTGAGAGAGAGAGGAGTATATTATAAATTATAAATAATATTTACTTGGACAATATTTCATGTATTAATACTAGTCCAGCTGTATGTAATTTAAATATACTGTATAAACTAATAAATGAAATATGCTGAGAGAGAAAGAGTAATAATAATATTAATTATTATTATTACTTTGATTAGTAATTCAATTAAATTTTGATGATTAATATACATCAAATCTCGTAATATCACGCCCACACTAATTACCCCATCAATCACTTTATCCTAATAATAGTAACAATATTAATAATACATTAATTACATCAGTATTACATCATTTGTTTCTTTTAGTTTATTAATCAGTAGCCATGTACCAAACGTCTCTGGAGACTGAGACAGACTCATTGCTTGATGATCTATCGCTTGTCTCAAACCATCAGACCAACCTGTGATCACGTGATCATTGAGTAGTGTCACGTGACTGTATACCTTGTGATATATCAGGAAGATTGGTTGCTTCTGATCCTAACTGATAGAGATATAAAAAGATAGTGTTTGGATTATTTACTTCTTCTAATAGTCTCTCAAAGTCAATGTGTGTCTCCATTACACTCAGCATATCTTTTAAAATACTGTCCATTTTGCACCATCACTATAAACACATGTGACCACGTGCTTAGTTCAATTTTAGTCAAGAAGGCGTGCCTTACTTTATATTAAAGACTATAGTTTAATACGGCATAATTTAAATTTAAATTTAGGTTACAAGGTTAGACAGGGCTAGAGACGAGGAGAAAGAGAAAGTATACAATTTTATTTAATGCCTCATAGGTCACTACATTCTTTACAGATTTACAGCTATTTTTATCTGGTCTGCTACAGTGTGTTCTGCTGTCTTATAAAGAGGAAGAGGTATCTGAAAGTGATAACTAATAGGCATGGTGGCAATGTGTGGTCTATGATGTAGGAAATAGGAATCACCCTGTGTTACAAGATGTAGTTTGTAGAAAGTGGGTGTGGTCAAAATTGCTTCACGCGCCATTTTTTCTCAACCACCCTTCCAATCCTGCAGCAGCCTATGAGCCAGTGTATATGTCCATGCACAGCTATGCATTAATACTAGAAGTTTGGCAGGAAGTTCAGCTACCCACAAAATCTGCGAAATTAATTACCCCATGGAATTTTATAACCATACAGTATTTTACACTTAGATTAACAGCAAAAAATCATAGGCAACATTATGGAGAACTAAAATATTATTTACATCATTTAGATTATGTGAGCCTTATTATGCATCATAATAAGGCTCATGTGATGTTAATTGTCAAGTGACTTCTTATACCACATAGGACAAATTGTGACTTAGCAATAAAGTTAGAATCAAGAATCAAACTGCATTGATCAACATTGACAATATGTAGCCAATTAAATTGATTATTTCAGTTCACCAATTTATGATTTTTTGATGTGCAATTTAAGCCAGCAAATGAACTTTCATTATTCTTTTTCTATTTTTATCACAGGTTCATAATATTTTCATACGATGGCAGTAAGTCATAACACTTGAGAATGTGTAATTTTATTCTTTTCTTCTATGATACCATTGTGATACTTCACTAAACTGTGTTTTTCACAAACTTTCAGGAAGTGAGTCACATCACATGTGAATGTGTAATTTTATTCTTTTCTTCTATGATACTATTGTGATACTTCATGTTATTCACAAACTTTCAGCAAGTAAGTCACATCACATGTGAATGTGTAATTTTATTCTTTTCTTCTGTGATACCATTGTGATACTTCACTAAACTGTGTTATTCACAAACTTTCAGGAAGTGAGTCACATCACATGTGAATGTGTAATTTTATTCTTTTTTATGATACCATTGTGATACTTTACTAAACTGTGTTATTCACAAACTTTCAGGCAGTAAGTCACGTCACATGTGAATGTATAATTTTATTCTTTTTTATGATACCATTGTGATACTTCACTAAACTATGTTATTCACAATCTTTCAGCAAGTATGTCACGTCACATGTGAATGTGTAATTTTATTCTTTTCTTCTATGATACCATTGTGATACTTCACTAAACTGTGTTTTTCACAAACTTTCAGGAAGTGAGTCACATCACATGTGAATGTGTAATTTTATTCTTTTTTATGATACCATTGTGATACTTCACTAAACTGTGTTATTCACTAACTTTCAGGCAGTAAGTCACATGTGAATGTGTAATTTTATTCTTTTCTTCTATGATACCATTGTGATACTTTACTAAACTGTGTTATTCACAATCTTTCAGCAAGTATGTCACGTCACATGTGAATGTGTAATTTTATTCTTTTCTTCTGTGATACCATTGTGATACTTCATGTTATTCACAAACTTTCAGCAAGTAAGTCACGTCACATGTGAATGTGTAATTTTATTCTTTTCTTCTGTGATACCATTGTGATACTTCACTAAACTGTGTTATTCACAAACTTTCAGGAAGTGAGTCACATCACATGTGAATGTGTAATTTTATTCTTTTTTATGATACCATTGTGATACTTTACTAAACTGTGTTATTCACAAACTTTCAGGCAGTAAGTCACGTCACATGTGAATGTATAATTTTATTCTTTTCTTCTATGATACCATTGTGATACTTCACTAAACTGTGCTCTTCATAATTTTTCAGGGAGTAAGCTACGTCACATGTGAATGTGTGATTTTATTCTTTTCTTCTATGATACCATTGTGATACTTTACAAAAACTGTGCTCTTCATAATTTTTCAGGGAGTAAGCTACGTCACATGTGAATGTGTAATTTTATTTCTTTCTTCTATGATACCATTGTGATACTTCACTAAACTGTGTTATTCACAATCTTTTAGTATGTAAGTCACATCACATGTGAATGTGTAATTTTATTGTTTTCTTTTATGGTACCATTGTGATACTTCACTACACTGTGTTATTCGGAATCCTTTAGGAAGTAAGTCACGTCACATGTGAATGTGTAATTTTATTCCTTTCTTCTATGATACCATTGTGATACTTCACTAAACTGTGTTATTCACAATCTTTTAGTATGTAAGTCACGTCACATGTGAATGTGTAATTTTATTCTTTTCTTCTATGATACCATTGGTGATACTTTACTAAACTGTGTCATTCACATTTTTTCAGGTGGTAAGCTACATGTGACTGTGTAATTTTATTCTTTTCTTTTATGATACCATTGTGATACTTCACTAAACTGTGTTATTCACAATCTCTTAGTATGTAAGTCACATCACATGTGAATGTGTAATTACTAATTTTATTATTTTCTTCTATGATACCATTGTGATACTTCACTAAACTGTGCTCTTCATAATTTTTCAGGGAGTAAGCTACGTCACATGTGAATGTGTAACTTTATTCTTTTCTTCTATGATACCATTGTGATACTTCACTAAACTGTGTTATTCACAATCTTTTAGCATGTAAGTCATGTCACATGTGAATGTTTAATTTTATTCTTTTCTTCTATTGTTAAAATGTAATGAATTTTTGCTTCACATTTATAGGATATAAGTAAGTAGAAGATATACACATGTAAACTCTGTGGAGGATTCACTTTACATGCGTATTGTGAGTACATATTGATATTTATCATAAATACGTAGGTGCCTATGAGAGAGCTCTCGAAGAACAAGGAAGTGCTGATGTAGCGTATGCTCGTCTTATGTTACTGGGATCAGCTGGTACTGGCAAGACGTCTCTCAAACGTTCATTAATGGAAGAACCTTTCGATCCTCATACTACAAGCACCATTGTATCTGATGTATCCTCTGTACGACCATTTGGACACAAGTGGCAAACAAGGAGAGAAAACAAATGGAGAGAAACCACAGAAAAAGATGAAATTGAGGAACTTACACATTTATTTAAAGCCTGTCGACCTGGATCGTCCTCACACCATAGATCCATATTGAGTGCACAATATTCTCATATTGAATTGATTTCTAAAAGTTCTATATCTTCCATTTTGGGTATAGAGAGCAGTTTTATTCAATCAATACTAAGAAGAACTACACCTAGTAGTAAACCATCTCTTACAACACAGTCAACTGTTCAAGTTAGTCCTACTTTAATAGCATTATAACATAGTTTTATTAATCTTTAGCCATTTCTTCATATATGGGATTGTGGTGGTCAGCCAGTGTTCCTTGAGATTCTCCCAGCCTTCCTCACTCCTCGTACAATGTTTCTCCTCCTGTTTGATGCTTCAAAGGATTTCAGAGAAAGATGGCAGTCATGTCAGAATACTCCTGATGGTAAAGTGCTGTTTGGTGAGGTAGTGAATGAAAGCACGAGTGATCTAATGGCCAAATGGATGTCTACAATACACAGTCACCTCATGAAGCACAACAAGGATGATACTTCTTCTCCTAGTCTCTATTGTATTGGCACTCATGGCGACAAGCTACATTCAGAAAGCAAGAAAGAAGTAAAGCAACAAATCCAGTCCCTGTATGAGGAGAAAGAGTTCTCAGATCTCATTAAAGATGTACTGATCATTGATAATACAACCTCAGGCAAAGGAGAAGAAGAAGATCCAAACATCAAAGAATTACGCAAAGCTATTGATAGTTTTATCAATACATTAGTTGTTCCAACCCCTGTCAATTGGGTTCTTTTTCGCAAAGTTTATCAAGAGCTAGAGCTGAATGTCATTAGTTTATCTGATGCTATTGCCATTGGAGTAGCATGTCATATACCAGCAGCTGATGTTCCTGAAGTATTGAAATTCTACCACGAACTGGGAGCTCTTCTTTACTATCCTCAAATAGAAAGTCTAAGAAATAAAGTCATTCTCAATCCAAAATGGTTTGTTGGTACCATTGGGAAGGTGTTCACTTTAGAAGGATGTGAAGAAGGATGGAGTGGAACAAAAAGTTGGTATTTGTTACGAAATAATGGTATTCTAGTTCAGCCACTCTATCAAGAAGTATGGCAGTCAAGTGGCATTGATCCAGAAGAAATAATTGAACTTTTAGTTCATTTTCGTCTTGCAGCTCAAGTTCAAACTGAGCTTTATGATAGCAGATTCAAGCAGTATTTTCTTCCAGCAGTGCTACAAGGATACACAGGTGATCCTAATGAAGTACGACCTGGTTATAAGCTAAGAGCCTCACCTGTACACATTACATTCTCCACTGGATATGTACCTCCTGGCTTCTTCACTCGTTTAGCAACTGCTGTTGCTACTGATGCCAATGTTGAGCTTAATTTTGAAAATGATTATACTTATGCTGTACCTGCGTC